AAGTCAAAATAAATCTTTCATGTAGTCTGGTAATAAAATGTAACTTTTATTCTAAAATAAACAAAACTACAACTCCCTTTGCTCTTGTCATATTCCATAAAACAATGATTTTTATTTTCCTTGAGATAAGGTCTGTGTCCCAATTGGTCTCAGTGAGTGACTTCTGGTCATTCCATCTGGATGCTCAAACAACAAAGATAGTTTATATTATGGACATTAAAAACTTAAAACAGGGAGATCCAGGGACAGTTCCACAGCTAAGAGTACTGGTTGCTCTTCCAGAAGACACAGGCCCAGTTTCCAGTCCCCATGTCAAGTAGCTCACAACCAACTGTAGTTTCATCTTCAATGCTCCATGCAAACCTCCATGTAGAATTCACACACATACACAATAATAATAATGATGATGATAATAATTAATAATAAAATCTAAACAATAAGTATTTAAAAATACATCATTTCCAATATATTCTTGTCTCCTGATTAAAGTTTGGGAATACATATAGTCATCAGTCAGTCTTTTAATAACAATTTATATCAGTATGATCTCAAGAAATTACTATTATTAACATCAATAATAGAAAGCTATCATTTTTGACTCTCCACTTGTGTGGACAGTGTTCTATGTGCTTTTAATACACTGTAATATTTATTTCACAAATAATGACATCACTGTTCTCCTGACTTGCAGCTGGACACAAAGCGATAGCACACAAATACCAACACTCACACATATATGTCATACACATGCACAAAATGATAATCATAATTTTTAAAAATCAATTTTAATTGAATCAGAAATTAATAATTGCATTATATTAAACTACTTTTGCGGTCAAATTTCCCATACTAAATTTATATCATACTATACAGAAAAAAAATTACATTGAATTTTGATTTAATTTTATAGTTGCTTACATATTATATACATATGCAACAATAATTCGAGTGAATAAAATAATATATGAAGTATAAGAATACATATTGATATTTGGATGATACAAGTATAATCATGATTATTTTTAATAAAATTGTTATGTTAATAATTATCTCCTTTATTCAATCAGTCCTTAAAATGATGGTAGAATTTATGTAGGTAAAACATATAATTAAGTTATCAGATCATAAAATGTTAAAAAGAGTAGATTCAGAATTTTAAGAAAATTTTTGGACATCAGAGGATTATTAGGAATATGATAAAGTGTTGAGAAGAGTACTAGTGTTATGCCCAGATTGTAGGGACCCCCAAAAGACCGTCACGGAGACTAAATCCCATATGTAAAAGCAAAGAGCCTTCATTTTCAAGCTCTAAGCTTGGTCTCACTGTCTGTCCGATAAAGCAGTGAGAGCAGAGAGCCCAGAGCCTAGGCAGGATGGGGTTTTTATCATAGCAGAGGTTGGGGTGGAGGGATTTCTAGGGTTCAGGACCCTGATTGACTGACATTTGTCTAGGGCCATCTGTAAAACAAAAATAGGTAAGTACTAGACTCAGGGACATTAGGCCACCTTATCTAATGGTTAAAATGTTTGGGATGTCAGGTACTTCACCTTAGATGTAGGCCCTCTCTGGGTGGGGACAGCTTATGGCTTTTCCTGGGTCTGGGTATTGCCTGCCAGTAAGCCTGTCACAGAAGCTGTGTCTGGACCTCTAAGCCTGTCATGGCAGCTGTGTGGTCAAGTTGTTTTGGGGCCCTGCCACACTAGATACTAGTAAAGGTATGTCACAGCTCACAAATGTTCTCTGAACCAACCAGAAGCAGCATGAGCAGTAGGATTCAGTGAAGACTGGGACACTCCTGGCCATTTGAAAACCCCTAATTTGTGGTAGAACTTATCAGTAATACTTTCCAAAAGAAATGGTAATACACAGAAGGTTGCTGGGAGAAAGAAGACGAGAAATATAATCATACCTAAATAACAAATTATAAAAATAAACTGAATTAATGAAAGTATGAAATGGTGTCATATGTAAGGAAATCTGGGGGATGACATGTGAACAGCATCAAAAGGGGGTGCTGAAGCATTCTACTATGTAAATGAAAATAGTATATATGATACAATGTTTTAAATAGAAACAAGAAAAATACTTGATATTAATTCAATTTAAACAATAATGAAATCTTTAGATTCAAAAATATAGCTATGTTATGCATAAAGCAAAAAATGTTAGAGCAAGAAAAATTTAAAATACTGTATTCATCCAGATAGATTTCCACATATCTCTCCCCCAAAAAAATGACAAAGCAAGCATTCAATGAATTAGAAAAACAATAAATATTCACAACAAAACCCTTCTCTCAATTTCACATATTTGGCAACAGATGACTTTTACAAATGTCAGAATTTAGTATACATTTCCAAGAATATTTATCACAAATCCACAATAAAAAATACAAAAGTGATCTTTAAGTACATTTACATACATGTTCACTTATAACCAAAAATTTTTAATTGAGATGACAATTAAGATAATTTGGAACTCAAAGCACTTATGACTTTGTTACCATATCATATAAAACAGTTCTGAGCCGGGCGTTGGTGGCGCACGCCTTTAATCCCAGCACTAGGGAGGCAGAGCCAGGCGGATCTCTGTGAGTTCGAGGCCAGCCTGGGCTACCAAGTGAGCTCCAGGAAAGGCGCAAAGCTACACAGAGAAACCCTGTCTCGAAAAACCAAAAAAAAAAAAAAAAAAAAAAAAACAGTTCTGAAATAAGGATAATAGAAGTTATTAAAATTAATAAAGCTTCTGAAAGCATAGGTTCCCTCAAGTAATTAATAATCAATGGTTCTTAAGTTGAAAGGTAACTGAAGATACTATGTTAAGAGAGAAATATCGACTGCATGATCTCATTGATTTGTGGAATCTAAACCAGTCAGACATAGAAGTTGAAGAAAGAGGCTACCTGAGGTGCATGTGGAAAATGTTGCTGTCTTATACCCATCATGTCCTTATGTGTAGTCTAGAAGCCTTCCAATTCACAGAATAGTTCAAATTTATTTGTCACTTAATCTTTTCCTACATCAAACACTTTCTTCAATATTGTCCCCATGTAAAACTAAGGAAATGTAGATGAATTAAGATTTTCTGAACTAACATGTAGATGCTACTAGAGATTATATTTTATTAAAATAAAATATTAAGCTATTTCCTTCCCTTGACCAAACAGTGCTGTGGAATAATCCTCTTGTACACTGTAAAGATTTGCCACTTGAATTGGTTTAATAAAATGCTGATTGGTCAGTACCAGGCAGGAAGTATAGGCAGGGCAATCAAACTAAGAATGTGGGAAAGAGGAAGGGTGGAGTTGGAAGTTGCCAGCCAGATACAGAGGAAATAAGATGAGAATGGCATACTGAGACAAGGCACCAAGGCTTGGCTAAGCAAAGACTTATAAATTAAGTGTAAGAGCTAGTTAGTAATAAGCCTGAGCTACCAACTGAGCATTTATAATTAATATAAGCCTCTGTGTGATAATCTGAGAAACAGCTGTTGGATATTTGAGAGTTACAGGCCAGACAGAAACTTCCACTTACAAAACAGCAGTGTTTCTATTAGCTTTATTCTGCTACCCAGTCCTTACTGAGGGTCTGTTATGTATATACTAGAATACCAAACTAAGATCCTCTGCCAAAACCCATGATTGACTTCCATGTGGTTGAAATCATAAGCTGAAAGAAACACTTCACGGATTTTAACATGTGCTAATAAATCTCTAGATTTCATTGCCTCATGATCTCTTCATAAGCTGTTAATGCTGCCAGACATTTTGACGGTCTTTTCAGACAAAAGAGTAAATAAATGAACCATTCATGACTTCTGCATAACCATGCACTCAAGGTGTTGAAACATATAATTCCATTTTTTAAGATGAGGAATGAGCATTATTGACCACAATTTCAAATTTTTCAGTTTCTACAAATTCTAATTATGTAAATATCCTAAAACACATTAAAATATTTCTGATTTTCTGAACAACAAGACAAAAATAAGCCAATGGCAAAACATGGAGAATGAAAAGTGAGAAGTAATGGACTGAGAGGAACACAATAGTGCACCTCCCACTCATGGCTTGAGTTAAGTGTGGAGTTTGCTACTTTTCATTCACCAAATATCTGTCTTGCTGGCTAAATAGATCTAGTAGAAAGGCCCAGGAAAAAGAACAGAAAACTGAGAGACACAGCGCAAATATTTTTTAGAACAACAGTCTGCACAAAATATTCCATTTTTATATCATATTTGGTAGATAATCCCAAACCTGTATATTTATAATGAAATCCAAGTTAAAAGGTAAAAGAATTGTTAACCTGTTGTATGCTCTTACATGAGCAATATATATTGCTGTAGGTCACTGAAATTTGTAGTGGGAATTGAGCTAACTATGACAAAAGCTATTATCTAGAATGTCAAGGACTTTCCAGAGGAAGCCAAGGCTCAAGGAGTATTGGTGTTATTTGGCTTTTCTAATACATCAGCTGTTTTCTGTTATGAATTTCACATATCATAGCTTCCCCAATTGATTCTTTTTCCCAACAACTTCCAAACAGTGTAGCTTGATCATTCCTTGGGCATAATTAAGGTATTTGGATACAGTCACACAGGCAAGGCTACTTGCTTCCAGGCTTTCTGCTTCTTTTTACAATTAGACTCAAATATCTGCCTTCTGTAATTATCTCCTTTAGCAAGCATCCAAAGCCAGGGTCAGCTCTGGACAAAAACATCCAAGGACAAACAGCAGACAGAATAGGCTTTCCAGACTACCTGCTAGTCGCCTGAATTAAAGAAAATATCCATATGGAGAAACTGCGTAAGCCAGGCAGAGTTAGATAGCTTTGCTTCTTATACAAATTAAGCCCAGACCCCCCTTCCTCTCACAGCCTAAGTGGCACCTCTAGACTCCCCATTGAGGAATTTGCTCAGAACAAAAGGTTTGTTTTTTTTTTTTTTTTTCATACCAGGTGCGTTGAAGCTATGAGACAGGTTTCCTAGCCCAGGAGCAGACTTACCCTGCTGACCAGAAAACAGCAGGGCCAAAGATTTGCTGATTGTAGGTTTTTGGAAACTGGTCACAGAGAGAGGAAAGAAAGGAATGAGGATGGAGAGAGGAACGAAGCCAAAGATGAGAATGAGATGGAAAGAACTTAGAACTATGAGAGGACAGGAGGAGAAGGGACAGAGAGGAGCTAAGTGTGAGAATGGAATTGAATCTGTGTAGCTAGAATTTTGTCTTAGATGAATCAAGTGAGTGGACTAATGAGTTTTGTGTAAGTAGATTCATTTGTTATCCCTCAGATTAGTACCCATGCCACTCACAGCATCTTCTCCAGAACTCTGGGAGAAATCTTCTCAGGGCAGGCACCTGAGGGCTTTTGATAAGATATTACATGTGTTAGTATAATTATTAAAGTCTTATTTACTAGAAATCTTGGATTCAAATCATTGTTAAGCATTTTGGAAAATCTATGAATATTCTGTGTAATAAAAATTTCATGAAAGTTATATTAAAAAGACAAAGGGGCCAGACAGTGTTAGTGCATGTCTTTAATCCACGTACTTAAGAGGCAGTAGCAGGTTTATCTTTGTGCATTCACAGCCACCATGGTCTAACAAGTGAGCTCCAGGACAGCCAGAGCTACAGAGAGAAACATTGTCTCAAAAGAAAAAAGAAAAAGAAAGAAAGAGAGAGAGAGGGAGGGAGGGAGGGAGGGAGGGAGAGAGAGAGGAATGAAGAAGAAAAAGAAAAACAAAGCAAGACAAAGTTCAATAGTTCCCCTTTTTATATTTCTCTATTAGAGAAGCAAATGTTCACCAATATAATTCTGTTGTACTCTATCATGGTTTTATGGACTACAATAACTAGCAATGTATACAGTTGTTCAACTTTATTTATCAATTAATAAGGTCCTAGATTAATCAATTAAAATATTTTAGATGGTAATAGAAAAAAATAACTTACTATTTAGTACATACAGGTACAATAAAAAAGATTATTGAGAAGTCCATTACATTTTATGTACTAAATTGGAAACTAAATATTGAAGTATAAAATTAAGTCAGAAATCCCTCTGACGTAAACAATTTAGAAGTAGATAAAACGAAAGAGATTGTTAAGTTAGATGTACAAAGAAAACGAAAGTCTCTGGAGCGATAAATCTGGGGGATTAAATGGAGTTTCCCATAGGTAGCAAGTGGGGTGGAGCAGAGTAGAAATGAGACAGTGGAAAAGGTTTCACAAAAGACTGGTTCAACACAAGGCAGAGTTCCGTGCTTCTCTGTTCTTATTATCTCAACTAAAAAAAAAAAAAAAAACTATAATTTTCTGTCCTCAGTATATCACACAGCTTTAAAAGAAAAATGTAACATTACCCTAAGTGGGCACTTTTTCTCAGGTGATTGCAGCGGCTTCCGATCTTTTGCCCCCATGGGAAGCTTTTTTACGGTGTTTCTTCCCCTTTCTGATTGGCAATTCCTAGAAGGCCACAGCAGCCATGTGGAACCTATCTCTATAAGAACCACATGGTGCCACACAGTAGCAGCCTCACCACAGCAACCCAAATAACCCTTGTAAAATGTAATCCAGTCTTCTGTCCTGTGCTGATGGACCCCAGGGCCTTGTGTAACCAAAGTTGGCATTCTGCCGCTTACCTATAGCCTGAGAGTGGATTTAACTGACATTTCTGTTTATTGCCATTACAATTCCAGTGTAAAGAGGACCTACTGTGTCATTTTATATGTTTTTTTTTCCAAACTCTCATTTTCTGTAAAGTAAATAAGACTGTTGTAAATACTAGGTCAGGTGCTACCATTTATATTGAGTAAGTAAGTGCCATAAGAGGAATAAGGACCGTGCAACACAGAGAAGTAAATCACGTGATGCAACATGGTGTTTCTGTCTTTTCTTTCTACCAAAATTAGTAAAACTTCTCTTTCAGTGAACCAGTTGTTGAAATTTTAAGTTCAGACAGAGTTCTCTTTTCCTCTCTGCTGTAAGGCCTGATCTCTGTCTCCACTGGGGTGCAGTGCCCTCCTTTTACTCAGGGAACAGTTTGTTCTCCGTTCCCCGTGTGCTAGATGTTTCTTGTATGCCCTCTACTGGCTTCTAAATGCTTTCAGAATAAAACCATAGTTTCTGTTTTGGTTTTATCAGTCTATAATGCCTACAATATTTTCATCTGGAAAACAAGCAAATAATTTAAGTACAGCACTGGAAAATATCATAAAGGTATAATAGTTAAGAAATCTCCCTGCTTTGAATCAGAATCAATTCTATGCTAAAATGTATGAAAACCATGTTTCTAAAAATTCTCACCACTCCTTCTGAATGAGAAAGGCAATTAACATTCTGTGTTTATTTAGGGAGTTTACGATTTAAAATACGCACTGAAAAACGGAAATGTGAAACGGTACAGTACAGTAACAGTACTGCTTCAGGACAGGGAGTGGCAGAGGGGCTGGACAGCTCAAGAACTGTGGTGTGTGGGAAAAGAAACAAGGGAGAGTGAAGCAGAGCAGGACTGGTTTTTAAATTTTACATGCGCATCCAGGGAGAAAATCTAGAATTAGTGGAAGATATGTAATACCGATATCAAATCAACACTTCATTTCAGTAGCAAGAAGACACTGCCTATTGTGAGAGAGTTCTTTTGCAGCCATAGGAAATAAACAAACAAACAAATAAATAAACACTTTTTGGAATGTCCCTCAAAACAATGCAGTAGCAGAAGCAGGAAACCCAGCTGGGTGGTTTCCACGATGGTTTTTCAACAGTAAAGCTGTTTTCCAAATGTCCGGAGTACTTACAAGATTTTCTTATTTTCACTAGAAAGAATATGTATATGAATACGGTTACACAGTTAATGTTCATCCTAAGTGACAGTTTCAAATGTACACTTTACTTATTTATTTATTTTTAGATAGGATCTCACTATGTAGTCCTGGCTGTCTTAAAACTCACTATGTTGACCAAGCTGAACTCTGTCTTCCGAGTGCTGGGGTTAGAGTACTATTCCCCCATTTCTGCCTTTAAATATACACTATTGAAGCATATATTTTCATAAGTAAAAATATTTTTGTTGATTTCATAAAGTAACATATTATTTAAATCTATTGAGAAAAAAAATCTATTGAGTACCTACAAAGTATTTTAAAAAATTATGTGATCGATCATAGCTTTGAGGATCTACTTTGATTTCATGTAAAATTTTCTTAATGTAAGTGTAGTACACACATTAAAAAGAAGAAAGCTATGTACAGCCTCAAATACTGTGTATGCTTGAGATGTTTCGTTATCTTTTGATTCCCTTAGCTATATATTTATTATATTTATATAATTTCAGAGCTACAACATTTAATATTAGGACTGTAAAGCTAAACTCTTATTTTTGAGACATATGATACTACTGTGTTTGGTAGGAAAAATGAATAGAAATCTTTAAAGGGCAAACAAAAGTCAGACAATCAGAACAGGAGCCTAATAAAGGCATCTGTGAAAAGAATATAAATATGACAGTCGTTCCACAAGAGGAGGGGTACTTTAAGTGCACGTGTTAATTTTCCAGAGCCATGTGATCACCTTAGGCACATGGTTTCTTATGGTAAGTATTTTCATTACTTAAAAGGTCTTCTCAACTATAACTGTGTAGTTATTATATGCTATTATATAATTTAATAAAAATCAATTTGAATTCACCATCACATGAAACCCATCTCAAATTTTGTTTCTCCTAATGAAAGACCTAGCTGATAACGCTGGACAGTATCTGTTAACTCTCGGGTACCCAGTTTTGGTTTGATCCATTTTAGTTACCTCTGGTCTTTCCACTGCCCACTCTTTGATCAGTTCCCTGGTTATTATGACCAGAAAACTGCAAGAATGGACCACTGGAAAATTAAGATCAGCAAAGGCTGTTATTGTTTGTTCCTCTTAAAATATGAGTATGAAACAGATTAAAATAAAGGATTGGAATTAACCATACACAAAGTCTTCTCCTCCATAATGCAAATAAATAAGAATTAGCTATTAAGACTGTAGACTTCCTTAGAGAGAATTTCTTTTTTCACACATGAAATATTCAAAATACTTTGAAATATAAAAATATCTATATAGTATGGATCACTCATACTATATAGCTTTAATACACAGCTAAATCTCTACAATATATTCTTGTGGCTCGCCACAATATAGCAATTGAAATAATTAGCCTCTAGATTCTTTCCTGTGAGGAACATTAGAATTGGTTCTTAAAGAAGATTATGCATTTAAATATTTATCATAATTGATTCTTTAAGTTTAGAACTAAATAATCAAAAATCAAACTCAGTGTAAGAAAACTATTTCTACTTGATGGGAGAACACATAATATATAGAAACAGGTTACCTTACCAAAAAAAGCAGACACAGTAGTTAGAAATATATGCAGTTACCAATAAACCCTATTATTGTGTATATTGTACATATATTTTGATATAGTGCTAACACATAAAATATACTATTCTGATTTATAAGCTTCTACAGAACAGAAGTTATAGTATTGTGGTGATATTATGTTCCCCAAAATATTGTGCACCCTAATAAACTTATCTAGAGTCAGAGAACAGAACAGCCACTAGATACAGAAGCCAGAAAATGGTGGCATTCACGCCTTTAATCCTATCACTTGGGAGGCAGAGAGTTTAAAGCCACACTGGAAACAGCCAGGCATGGTGACTCACACCTTTAATCCCAGGAAGTGAGCCTTTAATCCTAGGAAGTGATGGCAGAAAGCAGAAAGGTATATAAGGTGTGAGGACCAGGAACTAGAGCTGGTTAAGCTTTTAGGCTTTTGAGAAGCAGTTCAGCTGAGGCATCCAGTCTGAGGAAACAGGATCAGCCAAGGAACTGGCAAGGTGAGGTGGCTGTGGCTTGTTCTGCTTCTCTGATCTTCCAGCTCTCACCCCAATAACTGGCTCCAGGTTTGTTTTTATTAATAAGAGTCTTTAAGATTCATGCTACATAGTATAATTTTAATGCTCTC